TACATTTATGCAGATTCCTCATTATTTAATTTCTTCAAGTGTAATACAGGGTGATAATATTTGGTGTCAACAGTTTGAAAAGTGAAAGGAACATCAAGAGTGATTCGAAGCAAAATCGCAAAACGAAAACAATATTCCTCAGGGACAAGGTCCCTTTGGTGTAATAAACTTTTAAAATAAGATATTTTTATGAGTTATCTCACAGTTAGCAGAAATATTTATTTTAAATTCTTCTGAAACAATTTCAAACTTTGTTTTTAAATTTCCTTAACATTAAATGCAGTGGACATCATATAAGATAGTGAATGGACTGAGATTTAATGCTGACAATGAAGGTTATGATACATTCATTTTGTTTCATTGCTTTGTGTAAGTAACAGAACAATTCAACAAAGGAGAAGCATATTTTACTTTTTCTTTCTACATTCTATTCTCCATTAAAAAATGAAACTACAGTGTTAATTTATTTAACGTCCAATAATTACAGCAATTCTAATAGTATAAATGTTCCCGTTGTATGATTTGGAGGCAAGATAAATATGATTTAAACTGAAAAAAAAAAACTCAAATTGAACATGTTAAAAGAGCAAAGTTTATTTGAAAAATATTAGATGTCTCAATTTGCAGCAACCTGCAGTATTTATAAGATAATGACATAAATCTGTTAATTCATACATAAATCATTTTGTTGTTTATTATACTGATACAATGGTGAGAAAGAAGTACTACATTGACAGGTGACAGTCGGAATGAACAGATGAATAGTTAAGATAAATTAACGGAAACCTGATAGAGTAGCCATCGCTTAATGTACTCACATTTATTTGTAACTATTTTGATAACATTAATTGAATGACATTGTTAAATGATGAGAAAAGTATGCTCTTTAAAATGGCAATAGAATTTTTAAAAAAAATTAAAATGTTTCAGATTTTTATATTATGCCCAAAGGGACATTATGTAACATTTTGTGGGTTACCTTTACTTATTAAATATCATGTTCTTCGCATTTAAATCGTAAATTCAATTCAACGGCAATATCGCAAAATGATTTTAAAATGAGCCTATCTTTAGAATTTCTGATACACAGTCTTTCGCACTGGAGATAAAAAAAAATTTTCCCCGCACAATGTTGCCATTGCTTGCTTTGAAATCATCGAGTTTGTTAATAAAAAATTCGTTAAAGTGTTACAAAATATGAAATAGATAATAAAATAAATTGAAAATTGGGGCATCCAGATGCCTAGATTCGAGGGCAGATTAGGTTATTCAAAATTGGACGGCTCTAGGTACCCTTTTCTTTATCACAATGTGAGAAACATACATACATTTATGCAGATCCTCATTATTTAATTTCTTCAAATATAACACAGGGTGATAATATTTGGCAGCAACCATTTGAAAAGTGATTTGCCATTTATAGTGAAACGACGCAAAATGCCAAAACGAAATTAATAGCTCTTCTGGGCTAATAACCAGCATGCAAACAAGTATTTTCACTGCATTTTAATTAAAAGGAATAATGTGTTTATGAGCTGTTCACATGTAGAAGTTGGTTTATGAAATATTTGTAATATTTCTGGAAATTATTTTAGCAATGCTGAACCCCTAATCCTAATACTTGGAGGGCATCCCTCATTAAGAGAAAACATTCCAATGAAAAATTTAAAATTAAAAGCAAGCAAAAAAGTAGCTGATTTTCTCAGTTTTGTTTTTTCAGGTGCAAGGAAAAGAGAGGAAGAATTCTTCTCCCCACCCCTTGGATTTGAACTACGGTCCATTTATATGGCATCCAGCATCATTAACCTCTATACCAATCAGGGCTTTGATTTAACATCCAGAAAATATTTAACCATTGACTGTTGACCCTAGTAAATTTTATAAAAAACTGTGAGGAGAATGATACGACAAATGCTCAGGCTAAGCAGCAACTGCCATATACATCAAGCTACTGACAGTTTGCCTATAGGGAACATTTTCTGACACACTCATTGCAGCATCTTCCATAAACTGGTCATTTTCTATAGGATTAGCATCAGCCAGACAGAGTTGGACCCATACAAAGTTAGCATCACTGACGTGAAAATTCTCCAGTACCTTGTTAGCATAATTTTGCTGAATGACAAAGATATCTCAAAAGAAGTATTCAGTTTCTTTATATATTGCTTTAAATTCATGCAGCAATTCCATTATAAAATGATCTTTCAAAATTTCTCGAATAGTAGCAAAAATTTACCATCATAGTCATAATGCTAATAACAATTTTGCTGTTTACTACTGTTACATAAGCATGGATTAGCCTTGCTCTTTTTCACACCCTACCATTCAAGAAATTCCTTGACACTGCCATCATAGTTTTATGGCTGTTGCATATAAAATTCTTCAACTGATGTCTTATAAAAAATGCAGTTTTGACATTAAATTGTACCTACAAACCATCATTTGCAGTAATTATTAGAAAAATGGGTAGTTTCAAAGTTAGCAACAGCGCAAATTATTTCATGGTAAACAATACCTTTCAAAAAGGTTATTAGTACCATTCTGTGGCAAAAGGCTTTTCCCAAGTGCTTTTTGCCATGAGACGAACTTTGAACTTACCAATGTTTCCTTTCACATGACTCAGTCAAATCTGACTAATAAAGTAATCTAACTCACTGGTTCTCAAACTGTGGTACATGTACCACTGGTGGTACATTACAATATGTTTAGTAATACAATTTTTACAGAAAAAAAATAAATGAATGTAAAATTGCACCCCTTTTAACATTTTATTTTAATATTTATTATTCAGTAACACATATGTTCTTCAAGTTTTTGACCTTTATGACTCTAGATTTAATGTTGAAATGATGACTTTTCCAAGAGCTACGAACAATTTTCCGACATTACGATTTCCAAGAATCTTAGCGGCACTCCAGTACTCTTATTTATATTTTACTGTAATGTAAAAGTTTCATTTATAAATATAATTAAATAATACAAATTTAAATTATTCTATTCTTTGATTATATACACTCCATTTAGGATGCATTGATTTTTAATGGCAAAATGCTTTTATGGTGGTACATATCATATTTATGTGGTACAAAATTGGAAAAGATTGAGAAAACCTGACCTAACTAAATAAAAATGAAATTTTTATTACTTTAGTAAGCCTCAAGGTATAAAATTTGGATATAATGAACTGTATTGATATCTTCAATTGAAAAGTTTTTTAATTTTTCATATTTTCCCCAGAATTCCTGCAAGCTTTAATGAAAACTATTAGTAATTCTTAAAATTATAAATTTTTGGGATTTAGAATTCACATTCTATTTTTAAAAGAAACATATTAAGATTACTGTTCTTTTTTCCAGAGTTTGTCAATTTTATCTGGTGGTTCTTTTTCTGATTCAACTGTACCATGCAAAAGGAAACACTGATAAGTTCAAAGCTTGTCTTGTGGCAAAAAGCTCCACCTTCATAGTTCTAAATAAAGACTATGCATGACAGATGTCACAGCCAATTCCAGTAGAATTAGGACACACAGAGTAAGCATATTTTAGGACATTGTATGTGTATATGATCATTAACTCTTTGAAGACCATAACGCCCCAGACGGCCTTTCATTCAAACAACCACAACTGCCCCAAACGGCTGAAATTCTGATGTTGTTTTCTTCTCTCCAGTAAGGTATGCAGTAGCAGGTGCAGTTTCCCCAAATACATTGTATCAGTTTATTGCAGACAGCTTGTCCTAAAAGGATTTATTTGTGGTTTCTTATCTTTATTTGTTAGGATATAGACAGGATGACATTTGAAATCTTCACTCTTCTTTGTGCGTTAATGGATAGGGAGGGGAGGAAATTACTGTGACTCTTGAAAACCTTTTCGGGCGCTTCGGTACTTTATGCATTACAGGTTAGCGAAAACTTTGGTTTTCAAAGAGTTAAACCAAAGAATGGTGAATGATTCCATTCAGTTTTTTGATTTAGCTGTTAGACAAAATTCTGTTCAAGATTAATACTATGAAGAAAATTCCAAAATTTACACTCTTCAGGACAAAAGGATATAGACATACTGGTAGTGAAATTATCTTCCTTTTCAGCTTCTCCAGAAGAATGAAATTAATACATTATCTTTGACTTAATATTCTGCACTCTTTTCTGAGTCAAAAACTCATTCATATGGCAAGCTGTACATCTAAAGCATTCTGCGTTGAAGATAAAGTGAGCATTATTCAAAAAATACAAAATGGATGACACCAAATCAATATCTGCTGGAAATGTAGTTTATACTAATCTAATGCTGGTATTATAGAAAAAATCGTGACTTAATTCTTTTTACTCAAAAAATTTGGATATGAGGAAAAAGCTGAGCATAAAGATATTGAAGAAGTACTGCTTAAATAATTCACCCTTTAAAAAAGCCACTATATTTGCCAGTACCTGGACAAACGCTTAAGATAAAGGTTAATCAATTTGACAAACACTTTAGAAAGACTATCTTTTTATGCTCAAATGGCTGATTGGATAGATTTAAAAAAGGGAAGAGTATTTTCAAGAAAAATTACTAGAGATTTAAGCAGCATTTCAAAATTAGATATTAAAAAATGGGATTAAAAAATTGAATAGGATGACATCTCTCACCAATATGAAGAAAAAGGCCTTAACAATGCAGGTGAAGCATGTTACAAAAAGAAAAAAAAAAAAAAAAGTCTTTCATGAGGTTAAGAAAGGGAAGAAACACTATCTTAACCTTTATACAGCTTAGAAATAGCTACACAGATATATGAATTTTTATCATTTTGGATAATTTTGCTTATGAATGCGCATGAGAGACGTAATTTGCAAAATACACAATAAAAACTAAATAACTTAATTTTTAAAAATTTAAGCAAATAATCTATTAATAAATATTATTTCAAAATGAAAAGAATTGCAATCAATAACATATCAAAAATAATTTTATTCAGGTATGAAAAAAGATAAAACACAGAAAAAAAATTTTTTTGCCCTCATATAATTATTACATTCAGATGTGAAAAATATGTGCATTATATATGAATAAAATCTATACATATATACAAAGAATAATAATTTATGCTGTACAAAAATATTTGCACTAAAATTAATTTTTGTATTGAATAGAAGCATCTGTAATAATTGTCTTTTCAAGAGCACTTTCAAATACATTTTTGAAAAGCAAACTTTTTACCAACAGATATCTTCAGTGTGTAGAGAAATCAATATCAAATCTCTAGTCAGTGGTTGGACATGCAGTTTATCAGATATTACAACACTGTTTTGACAAAGTTTCTTGCTACATCATTCATTATCATCAGAGATATTCGGAGAACACTGCAAGGAAAAGAATATATATACAACTTAAATTTTAAAAAAAATATTTAAAATTACAATTACAGTTTAAAACAAACCTTTGATATAAATCAGGTAAATAGAAGTATATAAATATTTTTGACTACTAAAAACGTAAATTTAAAATAAGACAACAAATTCAAACTGATGTCTATTTGAATATATTTTTATTATAATGAAAAATTTGTAGTATTTTTCATTATAATGAAAAAATTTATTTATAATAATAATAACATAAGTAAGTATGCATAGAAAACAAGTATTCTTCTACAAATTTAAAATGATGTAAAAATTGTTGTGATTACAGGAATAAAAAATAAATTTAGATGTATTTAACAGTTCAGAATAAAAAGAAAAATGTTCAGACTTGTGCTCTAATATTTATGTTAAATTTTCCTTAGCTAGTCTTCCATTAGATACAGACTGTGAGATGCAAAATCCCAATATTTCATGAAAATTTACCAGAAAGTAATCCTGGTAACAAAACTTTCCCTGTTCTAAGCTGTGTGTAGAATAAACTATAAGAGATTCATAACATTTATGCCCTCAAAACATAAAATTTAAAAAAATTAAAAAACTAATGATTCAGAAGATTTAAGAAATTTTGATCTATCACAGACTTGCATTTATAAAGCATTGTTTATTAAAATGCAAGTTTCTATTGGAATTTTCTTGAATCCTAAAATGAAAACAAACAATCCAAATAAATAATAATTGTATAAATATCCAGTTAACCACTCATCATGGTATTCTTGTTTCAAATCAATGATGCATGGTATGCAACATCTTACTTCAGAAACATTTTTGGGTTTACTCATAATATCTCACACCTTCAAACCACTTAAATAATTTCTGCTATACTATTTTATGAATTTATTAGTCAAAATAGTGTTTTTTTTTTCACCATAACCACAAAATTCACAATTGTAGTATTGAGCCATACAGGTTTAAACTGACTGCAAAAATAAATTTTATTACTTTGAGACTATATATAGAAAACTTAAATAAAAGCACACCTAGACCCCAAAATAAATACTTTTTACTTATAATTTTAACAAATCATAGCTTATATTTTTACATTTCAAAATTACTTCATTTTTACAATGAAATAAATAATAATAATAAAAATATTAAATACTCATATGAAATAGTATTCTTAAATACTAGTATTGAATGCACAGCGACTTTGACAAATCTATCAAACATCACTGTGAATTCAGTGAAATTAATACACAAAAATACAATGATAAGTGAAGTAACAATGATGGAATTAACAACTGTAGGCAACAGTTACCTTAAGAATTATGAAACAAGAAAAAGCACATCAGTAACTAAAGGAGTCAAAATTAAATACTTAAGAAGTTAAATAACATTTTAAAAATTAATATGAAACAGACATTTTAAACATATCACAGGTGCACCTGTGAGAAAACAAACATGATGCCATTAACCGAAATATGTGATTAACCAAAAAATTTGTTCCAGTATAATGGAACAAGGCCAAAAATAATGGAAAGAGAGAGAAAGCAGCTAAGACAGAATCATACAGAGTAATGCAATACACAAAGGCGAGTATGAAGGTAGAAATAAGAAACTTCATGTGTGACAAGATAAAAAGAATAATTATGATAGTGTAAAATTTATTTAAAAAAATTAATAAGAAGAAAACTTGGAAATTTGGAAGCTTTCAGATTTTACATTATGCCCAAATGGACTTTTTTTAATGTTTTGTGGGTTACCTTTATTTATTAAATATCATGTTCTTCGCACTTAAACCATAAAATTCAGTTCAAGAGCAATATTGCAAAATAATTTTAAAATGAGCATATCTTTAGAGTTTCTGATACACAATCTCACCGTTCTGTACAATATTGCCATTGCTCGCTTTGAAATCCTTGAGTTTGATAATGAAAATTCATTAAAGTTTTATAAATTATGAAATCAATAATAAAAAAATCCTTAAAACTTGGGCTTCCAGATACCCATATTTGCAGGAGGATTACGTTATTCAAAATTTGATGGCTCTAGGCATTGTTTTATCACAAGGCGAGAAACATACATAAATTTATGCAGATTCTTTATTATTTAATTTATTTCAATATAATACAGGGTGATAATATTTGGTGGCAACAATTTGAAAATTGAACTGACATTTAAAGTTTTCAATGCAAAATGTCAAAATGAATTTTTCTGCTCCTTTGGACTAAAAATATACATTATTGAATTACTACTATAGTCATATATTTATTTATGTGAAATAATGATATAAAATATGGAAATGAAAAAACTTTACATGACATAAAAACTACTCAGTTTACTACTCAGTAATAAAACTATTCAATTTTATAATTTATATGAACTTACACTACATACTAAAATAGATAAAAGAAAATTTTTACTACTGCCAAATAATACTCTAAGGTCTTCTGAATACTAATAAAATAAAATAAATGTCTGAATTCTAATAAAGTAAAAATGTAAACATAAATGTAAATATGTAATACATTAATAACAGGCTGGAGGAGAAAACTTTTCAGTTCATGTGTGTGTGTGAGCATAACATATACAGTTTTGGATTCAAGATACATAGTGATATAATTAATTATATAATAATATAGTACTGTTTATAACTATGGAAATTTTGTTAAATATTTATCTTCAACTGTCACAACTTCTACTAATTATTATTTTTTTACAAGAAATTAATTTTTTCTACTAGTTATTATTTTTTTACAAGAAATTAATTTTACTTTATATTTGTAAAGGCAATAATGAAAACACAAAAAGTGACACTATCATAAGCTACTTCAGTGTGATAACTGACTAAATTATATTAATATCAAAAATCTTAGTGGATAATACTTTTAGGATCAATGGACACTTTTATTAGCAACATGCTTGAATAATTACAATTAATAAATCCTTTGACAACACTTTTATATCTTTTTTTAATAATTAAATGAAGAGAAATGCTTGGTCTTATGATTATAACTATCAAAATATGATCAAATTCTTTTTCCTGGGAAAAGGTTATTTAAGATCTATAAATGGGTAAAGAAAGCTGGAAAAGGATTTCATATTGGCCAGTATTCTCAAAACATTATTATTAAAGAATGGCATTTAAATATTATTGAAATCAACAATGTCTAAATTATTTACTTCAAAAGATAGAAATTGTTAGAACCAATGAAAGGAAGGAAAATACACACCAAATACTCAACAAAACAACATTGTGATCCTTCTATTTTAATCATATACTGCATACAAAGGAAACCTCTGTCATCTGTTCGAATTGAGACTTTTGAAGACTGGATTAATGCTCGTAAAGATGGTTTTATAAGGAAAATTTGATATCTGCATGGAAATAATTTAATATATTAAAAATATGCATACATATTTGAATGAAATAAAACAATTATGCGATATGTATATAAATATGGAAAAAAATTGGGTAAAAGAATACAAACCTATTTTTTACAGTAGAATTACAATCAAACAATTCAATCATGTCAGAATCTTTTGAGAGATTTATCTACGAAAAATTCATTATCACATAAAAGGTTATTTAAAATAAATTTGATCAAAAACATACATTTTAAATATTTGAGCTTAAAATAACTTCAGTATGTAATAACTATAGAAAGTAACATACCTAAGAAATTTTATTCAAAGAAAAAATAAAAAGTTTTACATAGAATATACTTTGAAAAACTTATTTCTAATCATCATTACACACTATACTAATTTCAAAATGGTTAATTTTAGACTTGCCTTAAAAAATTTAAATCAAATGCTTCTTTAATAAAATTGTGATATTAAGAGAATAAGTTTAGATAATTGTTAAACATGGATAATTGCAAAGCAAAAATTTTATTTACAGTTTCGTAAGCAATTAAATCTAATAAATAAAAATTTTGCATGTTAGGCAATTTTTAAGTTGAAATATTACATTAAATAGCTAAGTAAAATTAACATAACAAATGCAAAATACACTGGTTTCCAAAAATAAAGGGAAAATTACAAACAATAGTGATAACTCATTCAGAAATACACCAATTCATATAAAATTTGAATATGTTGTCAACTAATAGACTATAGGCATGACAAAAGAAAGACAGAAGTGGCCAAGTGGCTAAATGTGAGTCCTTCTGTGGTTCATAAACTTTGGCAATTTGATAGATATTTGATAGAACCATAGATTTGGCATCTAGGAGGTTCAGCCAAGGATGGCCAACTACTACGATGAGCATTGATGACCGATATTTGTTGTTATGCACATGAAGGAATAAAACCTCAACTCAAATCCTCCCTTGCTGCAACCACTGGAAGATTGGTGTCAACGCCAAATGTGTATGAAAGGCTTTCCGAAGGAGGTCTGTTCGCACGGAGACCAGCAATTCATGTCACGTTATAGAAGATAAAACGTTTGAGGTGAGCATGTCTACACGACAGCTGATCAATGGAGGGTTGTTTTCTTTACGGATGAGTCAAAGCTTAGCCTCCAAAGCAACATTAGGCGTTATTTGATTTGGATAGAACCTGGAAACCGCTATCATCCATCAAACATCCATGAAAGGGAGGAGGTAATGTCTGTGTTTGGGGTGGTATCTCTTTGGGGGAATGCAGAGACCTCCAAGTCTTTCCACATGGAACAACGTTTGCTCAGGAGGTTGCTCTATACAGATGACATCTTTGATGCTTATGTGCACCCTTATGTCAGGGCAATCAGTTATAATTTCCCGCAAAAAGGACAACAATGCCAGTTTGCACAGGGCTTCCATTGTGGATGATTATCTTCAGCAGCAAACAATTCAGCACATGGAGAAGCCAGCTCAATCACCGGGCATGAATCCTGTCGAGCATGTTTTAGGATGGTTTAGGAAGACGTATAGCTGTTCTCAGTCCTCCTCTTCAGATCCTTGCCACACTTAGTTTGACTGATAGACTGTATAGACAGCATTACACATCGCTGTATTGCTTCTAAGGGAGATCATACTCCATACTGAAGGTAATTTTCCTACACCAAACTGATACATTTTATTAGTTCATCTTACACATATGCTAATTTCTATAACACTATAATTGTCTGGTAATTTCTTTTCATGTTATTTTATACCTTACTATGGCTTGTATAGTGTGGGTCAGTTTCATTAATTTCTACATGTAACTTTTTGAGTAATCATTATTTTGTGATTTTTCCTTAATTAATGATAAGTGTATTCAATGTATAATAAACACATCATGGTTGAACAGAAAACATTATTTATATTGAACTATCATTTACAAAATAACTCACATAAATTGTTGCAAGAGTCCCTTTTGTAGCAAGTTGAAAATATGGTTCATTTGGTGACATCAGAATTTCAAGTACTTCACTGTTCATATCTAAATCTCCCCATGCTTCTTTTAAAATCTCAGACTGAAAATAATCCATTTCTTTAAAATTATTATGTTACAAAGTATAGTAAGAAAATTGAAATACTCTTTCTAAAATTTGAGCATTTACACATCACTGATAATATACACAACTTTTTAAAAGAAATGTTTATATATGTGTGTGTGTGATGAAAAAAGAGATAACAATGCTGATGGCGTAGCATGTAGTTAGCTTAGAATGTAGATTCATGTTGAAGAGGATGAATTTAAAGAATACTAAAATGCTGAATCCATAATGAATAGCAAACTTGGCAGTCAAGACAGATTTTCATTTTTATTTGAATTGACAATTTACTTGGCACTCTAATCGTGCCTATTTCAAGAATATTTACATTTTTGATAGTATTGCGATAAGAAGAGACACAAAAAATAGCATTCAAACAGCACAGAGATAGAAGCTAGTGTGCAGTTATCTAGTATGGAAGCTAACCAAGAGGAAGGTTTTGGTTTAGTTTAGAAAGGCTTCAGTTCTCGAAATTTTGAATTTAGGTTCCGAATTTACTTTGCCATCAGACATAGATTAATATAGAAATGGCACAGTCCAGAATAGTTATTACTGTTTTTAGAATACAGAGTAAATACCCAAACAATAAATGAGGAATTAAGAGTCTATTTCTAAATTAAATTATAAAGCTGATTTACATGTTAGATACTTGCAACTGATATAGTTCATAAAAAAATACACATTTCTTTGATTTTTCAAACTGATTCCAATATTTTGAGCTTCAGTGACAAAATTTAGCATTTTATCGACTTTCAATTATTTTATTAATGAAATGTGGAATGCAACAATCCATTGCTAATCTCTGTAACTTTATACAATAAAATAAATGTAGCCTTTACACAATAAAATAAAACTGATAAAACACACAGTACTTTACACATTAAAATAAAATATGATAAAAGTATATTAAAAAAAATTATGAAATATCCCAATCATATTTCCATCAGTTTATTAAAGAAAACTCTTTAAACTGAAGGATAACATAATCAAATATTTTTAAAACACTGCATAGACATTTTTAAAAAAACATTATGCATATATATAGAGAGAGATAAATACATAAAGAAAGTTAATAAGAGTCAAAAATTAAGAACAAATTTTCTATACCCATCCTGTGCTATAGCTGTATGATTGAAGTAAAATAAACTCAGAGCATCTAAGCATCAATAAGTTAAAAGTACATTGGAGTCAAAGCAAGGCAATTCCTCATCAATATTAATAATTGCAACCTTGTATAAGAGTTTTAACACAATATCTAAATAATCATTTTACATAATGTAAAGTTTTATGTTTTTTTTTTTAAATTTTGTTTATTATAGTCCATTTGAAACAATGTTATGTTTTATTCTTTTTTCCAAGTGTTTCAAAGGCATGTAGGGAAAATCCTGGTACATTTAAGATACACCTTTTTTGGTTTTATATGAATTTTAATGTAATGAAAAATTTTCTTTCTTTTTTTTTTTTTTTTTTTTGGTTTTTGAAATCAAATGAACCAGGAGAACGAAGCATATTAATAAACTTTTATGAATAATTCATTTTCCCCTCATAAGTTCTGAATTGGAGTTTCAGTAAAAGGAGATTAATTTTTATATTTTTATTTCTTGCATATTTTTCCCCTTTTGCATTTTTAGTTTTCGAGTTTGTACTGCTGTGATCCTTTTTTTTAAATTTTGAATTGTTTAGATATTGTGTTAAACCTCTTATACAAGGATGCAATTTTTAATATTGTTGAGGCCTTGCTTTGACTCTAATTTACTTTTAACTTTAGATGCTCTAATTTTATATAGAGAGATATATATAGATAATAAAGTAGTTTTATATTTATACAATAACATTGTATCAAGTCTTTTTATTTCTGAAAGTTGCCTCTCCTTGTAATGACACAGGACAGTCAGTAATCTTTTTAAAAGTTAATAGTAAGCTTTTAAAACACTATAAATTTCCTTTCTGTTAGCAGTCTTACTATATTCCATATAGTTAACAAAAACATTTGTGACAGCCTGCCTCAGAAATCTCAAAAGCTGAGCAGTTTCAGAAAACTAGTGATCAACCAATATGATGCTTAAAGTCTCCACGAACAGTTGATATGATCATATTCAGTATTTTTTGTATTATCATGTACTTATGATTACTTACACTATTGCTTTCAAAGTGTAGAGACACAATCCATGAATAGCAAATTCATAAACTATAAATTTCCTTTCCGTTAGAAGTTTTACTACATTTCATATAGTTTAAAAACACATCTGTGACAGCCTGCCTCACAAATCTTAAAAATTGAGCAGTTACAGAGAGCTACAAATTAATCAATATGATACCTACAAACTCTGCGAAAACTATGTCATGTTCAGTATTTTTGTACTTAAATTATTACTTTCAAAATGTAGAGACAAATCTGTTAATAGTCATTGGCAAGTTTTAGAATCATGTGAGATATGATACAATTTTATTGACCACCATATTATCAAGATATTGGTAGTTAATATATACAGTACAAAGTCCATAATCCGGAATGATCTATAATCTGGACCTCAAAGGCATAAATGTTTCTTTTGTATGCTTTACACATGCGTGTAAAGAATGCTCATACATTATGCGCCCCACAGTCATAACACCTTGGTTCTTTACTCTTATTACTGCATGCTTTATTTTGTGTGTTAGTACTTGAATAACCCTTATTCTTCTTATCATGAATTAGCATAATGCTACTTTTCTTTCACTCAAATTAATTTTAGTGTAAAGGCTACAGTGTTAACTTATTTTATTTTAATTTACGGAATAAAGCATGAATTTTATTTAGATTAGTCTTAGCTTTATTTAACGGAAGCAAAATATGCTTTGCCTTTATTGCCACTGCCAACAGGGTTATAGGTCCAGTGCCAACAGCTAATCTGTCATCCAGTTCAACTTAGCATTGAAGGAATGTACATGAAGAGGGCCGTTGTCCACGAAAAGAAGCTAACCTGTCTTAGAAGTTTGTTCAAGTTGTTGTGCTCACACTTAACTGAAGATGTCATTACTACCTGAAGGTGTTGAGCTGTTAAACCATGACAAGTGGGATCGATGGAAAGTCGATATGAAAATGCTGTTACTGGATAGAAAATGTTGCAGCTTCTTAGAGGACAAAGGAGAAAAATTAGATAAAAGTGCAACAAGCTGTGAAAAGCAGGAATTCACATTGAGAGAGAATAAAGCCTTCACTACATTATATTATGGAATTAAAACTGAGTTCAGGCCGCTGATACAAGAATGCTCAAGTAGTAAAGAAGCATGGGAAGTTCTACAGAAGCAATTCGAACTCAAAACAAGAGCAAGGATAATTCAGTTACTGGATGAATTTTTTAGTATTAGATATACCCCAAATGAAGAAATAGGATTATTCATCGCGAGGATAAGAATGACTGCAAAGGAGTTGGGTGAAGCTGGACACAACTTGGCAGATCTTTTTAAACGATTTCAGGCAATAAGGAGATTACCCCAGGAATACTCCATTGTACAGTTGATCTATAGGTGGAAGGACGAAGATTTTACATTGGAAAGAATTGCTGAAGAACTGGTAAGGGAAGAAAGCCAACTTCGCCAGGTAAATGCCGATTTAGAAGACAGCAAAATAAGTGTGTTTAATACTATTAGTTCAAATGCAGGGAAAGATAGAGTTGAAAATAAAACTAAATCTAAGAAAAAAATAGGGAATATGAGAATAGGACCTTGTTTCAGATGTCATAAATTTGGACACTTAATCGCTTAATGTAAAGAAAATGTAAGTAAAAGTCAGAAGTTTAAAATAGACGATAAAAATAGACAGTTTAAAGATAAAGAATTAATGTTAGTAGAAAATTCTATAACAACTACAGATAAAGGAGGTAACGCAGATAAATTTAATTGGGTCGTAGATACTGCAGCTACAACTCATTTCTGTAATAATAGAAATTTAATGACAAATTTTGAAAAAATAAACGATATATGTATGTCTTTAGCTGTAGGAAATTGTGAAAGTAAAGTACTAGGAAAGGGTACCGTCAAATTTGCAGTAAAAGTAGGCAATCGAATAAATTGGATCGAGTTAGATAATGTGTTATATAATCCAAATCTAAGAAGAAGTTTACTATCAGGAGCAAGGTTAGAAATGGCAGGTGCTTATTTTGTGATTTCAAAAGGGAAGATGCGGGTATATTTTAATAATTGGAATAGATTATGTTACGCTAAATGATATGACAGACTTTATCACATAAAACCATTTAGATATGCTACAGATAAAAAGAAAGTTAGTTACGGTACAGAAATTGGAAAGTTAAATAAAGTAGACGATGGGATGCTATGGCATTGGAGATTTTGCCACGTAAATTTTGATTATATTAAGAATACTAGTAAGAATCAAAGCGTGAAAGGGTTACCAGAAATTGAAAAACCAATGGAGAAGTGTGAACCGTGAATTATTGCTAAATCTAGTAGAATAACTTTAGATTAATAAGAGTGTATTGTATGAAAAATAAAAATGAATCGTTCTACAACTTGCAGAATTATCATAGGCAAATGGAAAGTCTGACAAATAGAAAATTAATAAGTATATGCACCGATAATGGTGGGGAATTTTGTAACAGGTTAAAGCTATGCTTAATGATGGTGTTAAGTTAGAATACAGCGCCACCTATTGGATAGGGAGAGAAACTCTCACTTGGCCATCTGGATCGGCTAAGCAAAATGCCAGAGCACGTATTAGATCTGAATTTAGTTAATTACTGTCAATAAATTAGTTAGTTCATTTGCTATACAGTCCAGTCATTAGTTTAGAATCATAGTACATGGTCAGAAGCCAGAGAAATGAACAAAATGCATCAGATAGAAATAAAACTTCGTTAAAAGCGAAACTAACTAGGTAAGAAAATGTAGTGAAGGAATATGATGATAGTTCGAATAAGAATGAAATTCAAATAAAGTATAGATCCCTTCAAAGCATTCAAATGGATATTAGAAACTTA